TGTTTATAGGAATAGTTAGGCTATAATATAGTTTTTAGTGTGTAAAAGTAGGTGTATTTTTTTTGCTGTAAATAGTTTTTATATCGTAGATCAAAACTTGATATAATTCTATATTTATAGTATCTATATTTGTATTAAACGATTTATCAATTTGAAAATAACCTTAATTAAGTTAATATTCGTTGTTTAAGTTTCATTAGATAGGCTTTTATATATGGTTTTTTGTAAGTTTGAATTTTGTTCATAAATGATGTGGCATTTTTATCTACGGCGTCATTGACTGTGGGAATCCATTCGTTGGAGTCTGAAATTGGTGGTGAGGAATGTTTTCAAGGAAATTATAGTAGTTATTAAAACGTAAGAGAAATTATATATTCATTTAATAATAACGAAAATAATTAATTTTTGTTGTTTTATTTTATTTTATCTCACATACAAATTTTTTGAACATATATATTAGGAAATATGTGCAATGATTTAACTTTTTGAACTCCTAATCTATATTATTCAACCCTCATAAAGCCATCCACGTATGCACCCGCGTGGAATTCACTTTTTTTTTGTTTTTTTTTGTCTGTTCGTTTTTGGATTTATTTTTTATTTTTTTTGGGTTGAGCTATATTATAATAGGATAGTTTTAACCGCGTAGGCAACCACGTGAGACTTGTTTTTTTTGTTTTTTGTTTTATTATTCGTTTTGGATTCATTTTTAACTATTTTGGGTTTGAACTTATTAAGATTTGGGGTTTATACAACTATTTTGATCTTTAAAACAATAAGCCCAAAAAAAACATAAGAACCTTATAAACAAAAAGCCCATATGATAATAACCTAAATAAAAAAAAAAAAATCAAAAATTCATGATAGCTGCGTGGTTTGAACCCACAATCTTGCATACTTAATTAGACACCTTATACCACTTGGCTAAAGTGTATTTCATTGTTTGTAACCATCTTACCAAGACTATGTGTGTTTAAAAAATATTTTTATGATGATGATATTAATTGGTTTATGCATGAGAGCAGTGGGAATTGAACCCATGTCCTTGGAGACCAAACATGGGGTCTTAGACCACTTGACTAAACTTATATTCTTTGTTTGTAGCCATTTTAAAACAACTATCTATTTTAATATAAAAATGTGGGACCCACAATCTGCCTATGTGGACACCTTAAGGAACCTTTAAACTGAATCATTATAATATAGATTATACTAAACAACTATATTTTTTTATTAGATAGACGAATATCTAAACCGATAGACATGCTCTTAGTCTTTTTTTTTTATATAACTCTCGCCTAGGATTTATTTTCTATTCTTCTTTCTGTAGAAAGAGATTCATGTTTAAAGCACGGTGTTCTTAGAAATTACTTGATTATCTTCCCACGACCATCAGCAAATTATATGGGTTTTAATAATTGACCTTCTAATACCTTTTTGAGGATATAACCTGTATCAAATATCCAAGTTATGTGACTAAGCCAAAATCCTTGTGTCGGGCTGTGTGGGTCACGTTCTGTCTCACAATGCTTATGATGGTACCGGTGGTTGCTCACCCATTCTATTGGGTCTCCCTGCACACAATTTACAAACTACGATTTGAACATGTACGCTTCTCTTAATATATTAAACGTTCAAATCAAATAATAATCTTCAGAATATATTTATAAAAGTCAGACCTGAAAACCCAGGAGGCCACCATAAGCAAATAGATACTCGAGCCATTTTGGTAGATCGAAACTTCGGTGAGAAAGATTCCGGTGATAACACAAGGTGATGCAGATTCCATTGATGACAAGGAGCCAAAGGAAAACTCGAAAAGCCGACCAACTGAAGTAAAATGGAGCCAAGAAGCCCAGCAAATGAACCCCAGCGACTTTGAGAAACCTGCACACATCCCAATAACTCCAACTCCTTTCCCAAAATGCCTGCCTCTTTCTGACCACCACAACCTCCGAAAATGGTATCCTCCAGGAGCCATCGACCTCATCCGGTGCTTCATGAACAGCCACAAATGTGTGTTTCTTCTGAGGCACGGCTCCTACTCCTTTGAAGAAACCTGAGTTTGTTGAGGTATGGGTGCGATAAGTAGAGAAGGCATTACTATTACTGATTTTATGTTGTTTAACCAATGATGAAAAAGGTGAGAGCGGTTTGAGAGTTGTAGATAGAGACACCATTGGCTCAGGTTTTCAAAGTTGATAATGCTTTTACATGCACACACAGTGAGCTCTATATATACATATGACTGGATAGTTATCCCATCATTTCCCGGGTAAGATAAAAAGGCATAAAAAGTAAAACGATTAGTTATATAAGAGAGGGGGTGTAATATATATATAAATATATACATACATATGTATATCGAGAACCCTCAATGTTAGAACTCTTCATTGGGTTACTCTAAAAGAAAACAATTGTCAAATACACCAACTTTAGACCATGCATGATGCATCTCACAAAATTAATGTATCCTTCGGGGCACCGACAATGGTATTATCCTCAAGGAGTCCTTAAGTTTTGATTTTTTAAATATTATTTTTTTCGGATTCATTATAATAAAAAAAAATATCAACCAATCGTGGGCTGACACGTGTCTTGGGGACCCCCAAATAGTGTAAGGATCAGTCTTTATTTAGAGATTTTAAGGATCAAATCCTTAATTTTTAATAGGGTCCACTAATTATTTAATTATTTTTCCCTAAAAATTCCTCTTAAGGACTTTCCATTGTGGGTGCTCTTAGAAACATGAATTATATGGTAAACATGACGATGCATATCAAAGGGTTTTTAATGAAAAAGAAAACATAGCAATTATTTTTAAATCAAAAGAAAATATCTCAATTTTTTTTTAATTTTAAATTTCTAGCCTAAAAATTGTTTACGTATGTCACCATCTGTCTATTTTGGAGGAAAAAAACAGTTGAAATAAAATGAATTGTTTTAGTTGAAGAGTTTATCATTAAATATGTGAATTGTGATCAATCAAGTAAGTAACCTATTTTAAACATAAACTAGATTTTGACCCGCACATTCGTGCGAATATTTTTCATTTTATGAATGTATAATTCTGAAGTTATTGTAAATATTTTAAATATAGAATTTTTGTTTTAGTGTTATAGATTGTGACATTCTTTTGTTTAAATAATATATACATATTATTTTATTAAATTTTATTGATATAAAATATTTTTTGGATGTTATGATATTAATTTCTTTTGTAATTAAATTAAGATTTCAAAATATAATCTGACTTTAATTTTTACAGCATTGGTTTGTTTTTCGTGTTACATTTCAAGAAGTTATTTTTTATTCTTTATGATTCTATCTTTTACAAAATTTAAAATATTATCATTCAAAGCTTGAATATTTATTTTCAAAGTTGTATATTTTTTCAGAAAACAATTAGGAAAATTACACAGCTATTTTTGAGTTGGAAGATTATATGATTTTTAAATTTTTTTACTACATTAATACATTAATTATAAAAAATAATTTAAATTCTTGGTAAGAGTTTTTATATATCTCTCAACGTATTTTTTATAATTGATATAAATATTAAATTTATAATTAAAATATGATTTGTCATTAATATTTTAATTAATTATTAAAATTTCATAGTGTTACAGTACATATTATTAATTAGTATAAGAACTAAGTTAGTTATAAGCTATTGTATTTTTCTTTATTTTTAAACAAAATACTGTTGAGAATTTCAAATAAATAAAAATAAATATCTAGTTGTAGATATAAAAGTTTAAGATATGTTAATTTCAATGATGAGTGATAATTTATTTACGTGAAAATATTTAAAAATGAAAATAGAGTAATTTACTTATTTAATATGTGTTTGTCATAATTCATTCATATAGAACTTGTATGTTAATATAATACATAATATACATTAAACATATAAAATAGTATAAAATTTTTATTTTCTTGTTTTACAATAAATTTTAAATTAACATTGATTTATAATATTATATTGCTAATTACAAAATAAATTATATATTAATTTTTATAAAAATATTTAAAGAGTTAGTAGGATTCTGTTAGATTCTTTGTCAACAGAATTTTTTACAATTAAAATTAAATTCGAATTTATAGTTGGTATATTTTAATATATCACTTCTATTTATATATCACTTCTATTTTAATATAATACAAAGTATAATTATAAACTTTATAAAAAAATAGGATATAATTTTTTTTAGAATAAATATTTAATTAATATTAATATACTATTATATTATAATTACGAAATTAATCACTGTGTGATTTTATAAAAAAATATTTTTAAGATTAGCCAGATTTTGTTGGATCTTTTATCAACAGATTTTGTTATAATTAAAATATAAAATTTAAATTTATAGTTGGTTCATTATTAATGTAAATAATCAAATGTATCATACTCCCTCCGTTCCATAATATAAGATGTTCTAGAGAAAATTGATGTTTCAAAATATAAGATGTTTTGATATTTTTAAGGTACTTTAACTTTATAGGAAACCGGTTGACCAATAGTATTTTAGTCTGTTATTTATGATTGGTTTATTTATTTTAAATTTATACTATCAATGATGTTATCTTTTAAAAAATTAAGTTTCTTAATTATTTTGCTTTGAATAAAACATCATATATTGTGGAACAGAGGGAGTACTAACTAATCCTAGTATGATTGTTAATATCAGATAAAAATAGGACTCTGTTTTAATAAATTAGATTTAAAATAAGATATTAATTTCTTATCTTAATTACTAATTTATTTTTATTAATTTATTCAATTAACCACAATCAACCAGACTTTCCCTCATCATCATCGCAATAAAAATATACTGCTTCCTTTTCTTCCTATAGCTGTGTTCATCAATTTTGAAACCAAACGGAATAGGAAGAACAGAAAGATAGCTCCTAGAGTACTGTTGATAGTTTATAGCATTAAATATATATTTTTTTAACACTGAAGATTTGTCTTGTCCAAGTATACAAGAAAGTGATACATAAGGAAGAAATAAATAAGATATCAATAGATACCTATAAGAAAAGGAAAGGAAACTCACTCACTTAACCCCTTACTTCTGAGCCTCCAAAGCGAAGAGATGATAAAGCCAAATCGGAGCATGTCTAGCGATGTATGACTGATGGCGTTGATCGCGGGTGACACTAAGTGCAATTGCTGTGGCTGTTTCATTACGTTCTTGGAGTGCGTGATCTAAGCTCCACGTATCTATCCTTGCCAAGAGATAAACGATATTGTGGCAGATGAGGTTGACGCCATGAAATTGCTGGAGGATAGGCTTTGTGAAAACTTCATGGAGGCACTCGGACGATGTCTCAAAAATAATATTTGAGTAATGTAAATTATCCATACATTCGACCGCCCAGAACAAGGCCCATAAAGCAGCTTTTGTTTTTGTACTCATGTAAGAGTAAGCCCGACGGCTATGCATTAGCGTAACTCCATGTTCATCCCGTAAAATCCAGGAAGCACCAGAAGGTTGATTTGATTTCACCCATAAAAATCCAATATTACATTTTAAGGAGCCAGAAGGCGGGTGTTTCCAACCCACCATTTCTATATCAGTATTAGTAACCCCATCACGTTTTGCGGTGAAGGTATCAAACCATATTGATTCTGCCTCATAGGCTTTTTTAGTGACGACCAAAGCGTCAGTTACTTTTTTCTCAAAAGTAAAGACATTCCTAGCTTTCCAAATTTCCCATAGTAACCATGGAAAAACATTTCTTGTATGGGTATCCATATTTAAATTCTTAGCAGTCTTATAGAGATGCACAAAATTTAAAAAAAGTGGAGGTACGAGAAAACCCTGTTGGAGTATAGGGAAATTCGATTGCTCCCATATGGCTTTTGCTTTAACACAGGTAAAGAGAACATGACATATACTCTCGACCCCGTTACCACAAACAGGACAAGTTTGATCAATAGGAATACCCCTAGTAGCCAAACGTTGTTTAACAGCCAAAGCTCCAGATAGCGCACGCCACATGAAATGTTTAATTTTTGGAGGTGCTTTGATTTTCCATAGATCTTTCCATAATTGTTTTTCAATAAGAGTAAGAGAGTTCTGCGGAGGGTGTTCATATTCCACCAAAGATTCTGCAAACTTATAGGCACTCCGGGTCGAATATATCCCATTAGTTGTAAAACCCCATTTAAAAGTATCCTCGGATTGTAGTATCGGTTTCAACCCTGAGATTCTTTGAACATCTTGTGATGTAAACGTACGATGTAGTAAATTAATATCCCATTGATTTGACTTCGGAAGTAATAAATCAGACACCTTTAGCGTTAAATCTATGGAACTATTTTCTTGATATATTGGAGGCCGGGGAATAATATCAATAATCCAGTTTTCTGCCCAGACATTTATTGAATAATATCAGACATCTTGATACATTGGACGTTTAATTAGCACCAGTGGTCTAGTGGTAGGATAGCATTAAATATAATCATGCTTTTTCTCGAGAAAAAAAACCAAACTCTTTTCTCCGATGGCTGATGCGGTATATTGAGTTGACCCACTAAATACTGAAATCGTCTCGCAACTGCAAAAAAATACCTAACCAACCTCACGCTAAACAAAAAAAAACAGAAATTGTCTCTTATATTTTTACAATTACATCTTCAGTTTCAGCTATTCTTGAGGCCATTTTAAACTGACAATAGTTGACTGTTGACGTGATTTACTGAGTAGTAAGCAATAATTTCAAGTATCTGACTGGTGCATTCAAGAAGCAGCTCTGTTTCTACGGTATCATGGCATTTGCGCTTATGATATGTGTAGTTCTTGAGCTACAATGGTGAAATCTCTTGAGCCATTTAGATCTTGGGACTTGAGAAGCTTTTAGGTGATTTCAAGTAGACGCTCGGCTTCACGTTGATTAGTGTTTTCTCCCGTCTTGTTCTTTCTGCTCTATTTGGTTTCAAAATTTATTAACCATGGGCTATGTCAAAAAATTTGAAGCAAATATGATTTTATCACTAAAAATCCTATATCAGATAACACATTACTAGATTAAAATCCACGCAATTGAGCAGGATGAAAATCATATATAAAAATAATTTTATAGATTATTATTTATTTGTGTTTATTTAGTTATTATGTATATAATTAAATTATAATAAACACATAAATCAAAATAATACCTCTTGTTTATT